GGAAGGGGAGACATTACGGTGTCTGGGAAGACACATTTCCATAAGGCAAAGGGCAATCAGATATCACAGGCTCAGGGATTTAGCAAGGCGAAGGGGTGGGCATACATCATGAGGTCACAAGTTCATTGTAGATTGGAAAACATGGGTTGAGGATACATTAGATTCCAAAAGCAGAAAGTTGCCTTGTAAGGTGTGAAGACTTAATAACAACGCATAACAACGTAAACAATGTATAAGAATGTGATTCCTGCTTGGGCTTTGCACACTCCCTTTAATTCAAGGTTGGCCATACTGAATTATTTAAATTGGATGCACACAGTTTTAGTATTATGTTGATATTTCAAGCTAACTAAATTATTTTTTCAAAAAGTAATGCTTTGCCAGTATATATGTTCATAGTCAAAGAAAATAATTTTTGGTACTTTATTCATCTACTGCAAGTTTTTACAGTATGCCTAGAGCCTGCTGGATGTGGAGCGCTGTTTCCAGTTGTAGACGATGAACTTGAGGTAGATCAAACACACTCACAAGCTGTGTCCTGCTGGAGGTTGCTGTTAGTGTTAATGAGCATAAAACACACGTCAGAGTTCAAAAACTTAGTTCAAAAGATTATAACATATTATATACCTTAGCAATTTTTCTATTGGTTATTCTAATATTTTTGACAGAGTGGGTCACAAAATATTTCATTAGCTATACATTCGTGTTTTTAAACTCTTTTTTTTAAAAAAAAAACTTTTCCAATATAGTACTCAAAATTTGAAATTACACGGGTGACTCACTACATGGTGTTTTATTTTTGCCAAGAAACATTGTTCTGGGTTAATTTAGGGCTGTGACTCAAAATTTTAACTATTCTAAAAGATAATTGGTTAATTTAACGTAATAATCACTGACTTTGAAAACACCTTTTCTTCTGTGACAATAGGATCTAACTGAATTGGGAATGAAGACCAATTCGAGCTTAAAGCAAGGCTTCTCCGCTAGCTTCATGCCCTGTGTCGATCCTATTGACACCTTCAGTTTTCTGTGAGGCTGTTGTGCTGGTCAGACAAGCAGACAATGTCCTCAGCACAATGTGGGTACTTAATTGTCACTGAAGCGGTTGCTACAAATCGGTGGGAAGAACTGGATTAGGAAGTGGCCAAAGGAACAGAAAGGTGGCTGGATTGTCCCTTGCTCAGAACAGATGGGATATCAGCATTACCAACATTGACAGTCAGTTCAAAACTGACCACAGCGAGAGGGTTAAAGATGCAAGAACCCCAATCCCTACTTTTCGGGGAGCAAAGAAAAAAACTAAATCCGTGTGTGTGTGTGTGGGGGGGGGGTAATGGATTTAATTTTAAATATATGCAGCATATTGTATGGCTCAGTTTCTCACTGATTTCTACAAAGTAGACATTGGGGAGCGGGAGGTACAGCAGGGGCTTGCTCGTTATGAATTATGAACTTGTAAAATCCAGTCTTATAAAACTGAATTTGTAAGACTAAACATTTAGTGTTTTCGGGCCTCGTGCACGTGAAACAAGTGCCTTCCCAAACATTTAGATCTCAGGAAGGCCACATGAATAGAAAGGAGCTCAAGCTAGACTGCAGAGGGACTTACGGCCGGTAGATAAAAGCCAACATTCCTTAGGGACATATGGAATGGGCTTTCCACCCCACTCCCCCACAAGAATCGTTTCCTTCACCTCTGGAAGAAGGGGCATATGGCTCATATGGTTGCATGTCAAAGTCCACGCTGGTCTCTGGATTCCTTCAGTGTTCCGTCCCTACCCCTTCCCCCTCAGCGCCCTTAAGTGTTATCTTCACTATTTCTCCACTCTGGACCCTTCCAGATGCCTCTGGATATTTCCTCTCCCGTTCCACAATGAAACCCTTCCACCTAATAATGGAATGGCCACTGTGGCAGATTCTTTACTGAGCCTCCTCACATACATGAACTACATCCCCAGCATTAAATCTATGTTTTTGTCAAAATATGTCTTATTTGACTTATTTGGGGATCACTATGTGAATGTGTAAAGTCAGAGGACTCTTTGCAGAGTTTGTTCTCTCCTTCCACTATATGGGTCTCTGGAAGCAAACCGAGGTTGTCAGGCTTGGCAGCAAGTGCCTTCACCTGCTGAGTCATTGTAAATCTTACAGCGTCCAGGGGAAAGGTATCCTGGCAGTTGGGAGCCGAGGAATAAGATAAACAAATCTCACAGGAGGGATTGGTAGGGAAAATCCCAGAAGGGTGGTTTCTCAGGAGAGAAACAGCAGACAGTAACACAAATAATCAAAACCCAGAGACAGAAATTGGGGTTCAACCCGAAAACCAGAAAAGCAAAGTAATCAAGTCACTCTCTAGAGAAGTCTTAACTCTACCAAAGCGAAGTGATCGCAGACTAAGCCTCTCTCTCCTCCCATTTTATATTCCCTCTAGTGCTGGGATTAAAGGCATAGGACCCCCTAAGACTGGGAATAAAGGTGTGACGCACCACCACCTGGATTTGTTTCTGCATTGATCTTGTGTAGCCCAGGGTGGCCTTGAACTCACAGACATCCTTCTGCCTCTGCTTCCCAAATTTTGGGATTAAAGGTGTGTGCCACCACTGCCTGACCTCTAGTGGCTTTAGCTTTGCTTCTGGTCTTCAGGCAAGATTTATGAAAATATAAATCAAATAATATACCACTACAGCAAGAGAACCAAACAGAAGACAGGATTATATAGCCTTTCTTGGGGATGAAGGGCGAGGAGGTAAATTTTCCAGGGTGATCTGGGATTGGAGGAATTGTGCGGCTTGATCTTGGGGCAGGCTCGGGGATTGGTGGGATTTTTTTTTCTGCAGGGCGGGACCTCAGAGGGCTGGGAATGGCCATTACGACCTTTAGGCAAAGGCCATTATAACAGTCTGGGGGCAGGGCCTAGCCACTGGGGTGCCACAGGGGCTGGGAAAGCTGTCCCTGCCGTCCAAGTCGTGTAAATAGCCGACATTCATCTAGTTGTGGAGTTTTCATACCCAATTTACTACACTTTGTTCTATAGCAAACTGCCCTCTCTGCCTGCTGTGAGCCTGGCTCATTTCTTCTTTCCCACACGTAGGCAGCTGGCTTCTGGTTTCAGAGCATGTGTTTTTCACACCCCCTTCCCTCGCATCCTCTTTCTAGTTTCATGACCTACACACACATGCAATTCACACACACACACACACACACACACACACACACACACACACACGTCAACTCTACATTGAAGAAGTCATGGGTTTTTCTGTTTAACATACTGACTTCCTCTTCTACTTATCTTCCTGTCAACGTCCAGATTTCACTTTATCACCAAGTAAAACCCATCAGGTACGCATACCATAATTTCTTCATCCATTCATCTGGTGATGGACACACTGGCTGACTCCATTTCTTGGCTATAATGAATAAAGTAGAAATAAATATGGAGCGATGATGACTAAGAGTCTTTTATGCACAAACCCAAGAGTGGGACAGAGGATTATATATAGGCCGTTCTAGTTTAAGCTTTCTGAGAAATTTCCAAACTGATTTCTACAATGACTGCACCAATGCGATTTTTTTTTTGTTATTCGTGTAACATTAAATGGCAAATTTCACTTTTCTTGCTAGTAATATAGATATTTGATACATTTTCTCAAATAATTAAAATACACTCGTTAAAATGGGGGGTGATAAACATTTATTACATTTTCTGTATTTAATATTTTGATAAAAACGTACAGCTTTATAAGAAAACGAAAATCACCAAACTTAACTCAGGAAAAAACAGTTCACTGGACAAAAAGTAAAAATAAAAGAATTTGAACATATAAAACCAAATAACTGTAATTGAAAATATTTCTAAAGATAGAAAATAAGCAACTCAGTTTTTCACTTGCTTGAAGAAATGAGTTCGTTAGACAAATATCCCTCTGAAATTTACACCAGCGTTACATATGCTCAGAAGGTAGAAGTGAAAAGGTCAGTAATGGGAAAGGGGAGCCTGACTGGCAAAAACAGGGGTACATAAGATGAAGCTGTGTAAAATCGCACAGGGCCAAGTTCAAATCCAGCCTCCATATTCCTATTCTTCGTTGTCCCATCCACAGCTATAAAGTGTTCATTAACAACACTTAAAGTAAATCTGCTGAAGATTGGCACGAAGTTCCTGCATGCCACATAGGAAGCATTTCACAGATCACCGTTCCTAATGAAATCCCAGGTTTCTATTGAGGGAATCCCAGAAATGCCTCCCATTCCTAAGCCAGTGAGAAGACTAGTGAACTTCAAATGCCAAAAAAATTGGGCATTGAAAACAATTTTTGTGTACGGAAGAGAGTGGGGATGCAGACCTGCGCCCAGGTGCCCAAGGAAGTCAAACGCATTTTGGTGCCCTGGAGCTGGAGTTACAGGTGACTCCAGCTAACTCATCTGGGTGCTGAGAAACCAACATGTCTCTCAGAGCAGCTCGTAAAGTCCCCTACACTCTGGAGACCTAAGGAGTCTTAAAAGGAGACAAACCCCGGTCTGTGTACCCGAATTCAGACTGAGCTAAACTTAGACCCCGAATCCTCTCCTTGCTCCAAAAGGCACATTTAGGGGCAGGTAAATAGTTACAGTTGAGAAAGCCTAATTTACGCTACAGGGTCACTTTATTTTGGGGGTCCCAAGCCTCCGCCCCAGTCCTCAAGGAACGTGGGTCCTCAGCATTTTCCCTCTGGAGAACGCACGCCACAGGTCACTCCTTCCCAGGTCTAGAGGTCGCAAAGCGCTACGGAACCACGCACCGTCAGCTTTCGGCCTGGCACCCACAAACAAGCAAACAGAAATAATTCACGCAGACTAACAGCATTCAGCAAGCATACCGGACCACGTTGTACGTCGGTGGGCGGAGCCGGTGGCCCACTGCTCCAATGAGAACGTGCTCTCACGCGACCTGATTTGCATAAGTCACAATGCAACCCGCCAACCTCCTAAGATAACATAGCCCGAGGTTGAGAACCCTCCTCCAGCCCCCCTGTGCAAGTATCCCCAGCTCCTTTCTGGATGCTTTGGGGGCCCTGAAAAGGGCCTTTGGGTTTGGGGGTGTTGGTGCGAGACCAAAGGTCTGAAGCTGGTGGCAGCACTCAGCCGCCGAAGCCATAAAGAGTACGGCCCTGGCGCTTGAGCGCGTAGACCACATCCATAGCTGTGACCGTCTTGCGCTTGGCGTGCTCGGTGTAGGTAACAGCGTCCCGGATCACATTCTCCAGGAACACTTTGAGGACACCGCGAGTCTCCTCGTAGATGAGCCCGGAGATGCGCTTGACTCCGCCGCGCCGAGCCAAGCGCCGGATGGCAGGCTTGGTAATGCCCTGGATATTATCTCGCAGGACCTTGCGGTGTCGCTTGGCGCCGCCTTTCCCGAGTCCTTTGCCGCCCTTACCACGTCCAGACATGGCTACAGACAGATGAATAGTAAAACGACCGAAAACTCTTTGTCTTTCAGGCTGCAAGCAAGAGCTTATATTCTCTGGGAGCGGACCTGTTTGAAAACAGCAAGCAGTGGGCGGAGCTCTAGGCGCCGCCCCCTGACTCTTTACTCCTGGCTGAGTTAGCTCCAAGACCTGAAAAGAGTTTTTGTTCCCTCCCCCAAATCTGAAAATCTTTAGCATAGTTGAGAATTTAAACGATACAAGGTAACAATTTATTTTTCCCTTCCTTAGCGCAAATAAAAAGGCCGCATCATGCTTGCTATCTTCAGCACTTTCTGAGACATTCTCTTTGCAGAATGCTTATCCTTAGACTACTGTAAAGTAGTGTGAAAATGGATAGAAGCTAGCACTAGAGATCTAGCTTCCTAGACCTTACGTTAAAGCAGTTTACATTTTCATGTGTGGGCCTTTTGAATGGATGGTCACTTCCTTTGGTGACCACGCTAATACTCCCCTCTTCACTTCCTGTTCGTATTCAATTGTTTTTCTGCAGTGTGTGGGTTTTTCTGCTTCTGCCTGACAAACACATTAATATTTTCTTCTCAACCAGCTGTCTGTTTCGATAGTTACTTAGCTCAGCTATTGTAACGTGTCACTTCGATAAGCTTGCATCTCATAGCTTGCATTTAAAACTTTCAAGTTTTTGCCAGGTGTAGTGACTCACACTCGTAATCACAGCAGTCTAGAAGGTGAGGCAGGAGGATTGCCACAAGCTGGAGGCCAACCTGAGCTAGACAGACTCACCTACATTTCACCCCCTCTCTATTCAGAGGTAAAGTTACACTTATTAGAAGCCTGACTTTGAATAGATTTTTTTTTTTTTATTGCAAATCCCCAAACCAGAAAGAGGCTCTTTGGGTGGTGTGGGTTTTTTGTTTTATTTTGTTTTCCTTTCTGAAACAGGGCTTCCCTGTTTGAACAGCCCCGACGGTCCTGGAACTCACCCTGTAGACCAAATGGCCCTGAACTCAGAGAGTTCCATCAGTCTCTGCCCACCGAGTGCTCGGATTAAAGGTGTGTGCCACCACCGCTCACATGCTGTTACTGTTTTTAAGACAGGACTGCCCTGAAGTTTACTGTGTTGAGAAGACCGCAGGATTGGGGGGGGGGGTGTCACGACACTTGCCCAGGTGCTTAATGAGCTTGCTGAGGACTGAGCATTTTAGTAAATTGTTGCTGGTCGCAGTCTTGAGGATAAGCTTCCCAGCAGGAAAACGGTTTCCTAAAGTTTTATACTTGTAAATGCTTTTAATTCACAGTGCCTTTCAATCTTCATCCATCCCCATAACTCAAACAGTATTTGTTGTTGTTGTTCTCTCTGTTAAAGATTGAGCACGCAGGGCGGTGCACGTCTTTAATCCCAGCACTCAGGAGGCAGAAGCAGGTGAGTTTGAGACCAGCCTGATCTAGGGAGTGAGTTCCAGGACAGTCAGGACTGTTACACAGAGAAAGTCCATCTCGAAAAACAAAACAAAATAAAACAACAACAAAGATTAATTGAGTCCTAGGAAAGCCTGGATCATTAAATTTTATCTCATGATTTTAAATCCTTAAACTCTATAAAATAAAAATTCTTACAGAAATAAGGCAAAGCTGCATCTAGAATACTTTTTCAAACTCTGCTAAACCCTGTCTCAAAAAAATAAATAAATAAAAGGAAAGAAAAGGACTTTTCTATGTTATAAGCACACATTCAAGCTGGTTTAAAGAAGTCATTCTAGTACTTTCTTGCCAAAACGGCACCAGAGGCTTCCATAGGCATTGGCTCAGTATATACATATATAGGTATATACTGTATATAAGTATATCCTGTATATATGTATATACAACAGGATATATATGTATGTATGTATATATGTATATGTGTGTGTGTCCTGTTGAATGCTCATGGACATTAAATCATTAAATAGTGTGTTCAAGTCAGCTGTTAGGTGGTAAAGGCAGAATTCTGAGGAAGCTGTCTGGCTCCGTGCTGGCTGATCACGTTTATGGTGGCAATACATACATTGCTCAGATTTAAATAGGTGTATTTGAGACTCCAGCTACTGTTTATTCAACATTGCGCTAGGCCATAAAGACATACATAAATACATGTAAACACTACTTTTCCGCGTGTGTGTGCATGCATGTGCTCTGTGTTTGGAACGGGATCCTCTGTAGCTAATGATGACCTTGAACTGCTCCTCCCGTTTGTACCTCCTTAATATTAAGATCACAAGCAGCCCCCCCTTCACTATTAACTTTATTTCAGTGAAATCAAATTGTAATTAGAATAGGAAGAAGTTAAATTTGTGATCTTTTAGTTACATAGCGTTTTACTTAACGTTTGACATTACATCAGTTGTGTAATTTTTTAAAAATGTGGTAAATTGAACTACCTCAGTGAATCAGTGGAAGGCAATTAAATAATTATTAATTAAATAAAAAACACCTTATTTTATTTCAAATGCCACGGGCCTAGAATTTGAAAATATAAGAACAAGTCGAAGCAGTCTTCCTCCAGCGCTGGGTCTATTTTAGAGTATTCTAAAGTCTTGGTCGACGACCTCCATCTCCAATTTCTGGCTTATAGCCATGTACCAAATGCAAGGTTTTCCTAAATTCCTCTTTTTTCTTCCCTCTCTCCCTCCCTTCCTATCAGGCCGATCTGGATCTCAGAATAGCTAAGGCCGACCTCAAACTTCTGGCAATTCTCCTGCCTCGGCTACCCTAGTGCTGGGATTACAGACAGGAACCACCCATTTTCCTCCCTTTCCTGCAGTCAATTCCAACCGGACTGGGAAAGCCTGTTAACTATGTAAATTAGGACTAGGAATTTGCGCTTTTGATTGGACCGCATCTGGGAAGGCGGGCGCTCTGCTCGGGCGAGTTGATTGGGAGCGGCTCCTGCCTGTCACAGGCGGCGAGTTCCTCAAGGTAGTTCCGGAGTGGCGCACGGCTTCCCGGAACTGAGCCGGCCGGTGTTTGGAGCTCGGGGCGTGGGGTCGAGCATGTCGGGGCGAGGCAAGCAGGGCGGTAAGGTGCGCGCCAAGGCCAAGTCGCGTTCGTCGCGCGCGGGCCTGCAGTTCCCCGTGGGCCGCGTTCACCGGCTGCTGCGCAAGGGCAACTACGCGGAGCGCGTGGGCGCGGGCGCGCCGGTGTACCTCGCGGCCGTGCTGGAGTACCTGACGGCCGAGATCCTGGAGCTGGCGGGCAACGCGGCGCGCGACAACAAGAAGACGCGCATCATCCCGCGCCACCTGCAGCTGGCCATCCGCAACGACGAGGAGCTCAACAAGCTGCTGGGCCGCGTGACCATCGCGCAGGGCGGCGTCCTGCCTAACATCCAGGCGGTGCTGTTACCCAAGAAGACAGAGAGCCAGAAGGTGAAGAGCAAGTGAACCCGACGGGTGCAGAGCCCACCGCAGTCCGCAGCCAATAAAGTCGGTGAAAAGAGAGTAATCCGGAGAGCTGTGTAGTCGCGGGACCGACGGGGTGCTGGGTGGGGACGCGCCCCGAGCTGCAGGCTATGTGGGAGCCAGAGGGGAACCAGTGGCTTGGTGGGAGCTCCCCCTTGCATCACAGTGGGCAGGAAAGCGGAGATGTGCGGGGGAGGCTACTCTGGAGTTAACTTAGCCCAACCACCCAGGCCTTCTCAGGGAGGAGTGTGGTAGGAGAGGTGTTTCGAGCTATGCGCAAGAAGTTGCCTCGCTGGCCATATTTCGAAAGGTTGAGCTACTTGGAGAATGCGAGAACATAGGCACCTTGACAGGTGCTAGTAATTTAAGATCGATAGTCTTCTGAGCAAATAGATAGTACGTGTTCATGATCTGAATACCAGCCGTCTTCACCTCATTTGTGCAATACGGAAGTGAGTCATGAAGTTTGCTCCCTCGACGGTATTGCATAACAGCGGGGCCCTCGGTCTTTAGTTAGGTTTAGCAGCCTTTAACATTTTCTGCTCTTTCTGCTCATGGTGGCCCGCACCTGCCATCCCTGCACTTGGGAGTGGAACGTCGTTCGTGGCTAGTGAGTTCGAGGCCATTCCTGACCCACGTTGGGACTATGTCCCCAAACATATACATACATTTTCCCCTTAAGTTTTATCTTCATATCAGCCTCTTCTCGAGCATTACCCCTAGAAAATAGCTTGATTTTTACTTAAATTAAACCCTGCTTTTATGGATAACTAATAACGTTCCTGGAGTCTGGAGCCCCTTTTTCCCACTAGCTCTAAAGCTGAGTAATGACCTGGTAGGGAGAGGAAGGTCACGTGAGGTAAGAACAAGAGAAACCCACAGGTCTCTGGAAATGCTGTTCTCCCCTTGGCCGTTCCATTCCATCCTCAGCAACTCATTCTGCCCACAGGATCCACAAAAACCACCCCAGAGTAGGTTTCAATCGGCTTCATTTTTTCACTGGGAGTCAGAATTGAAGTATTCATCTTCATTTGCAGTGCCTGGCCCATTTTCCCTTGTCCCCTGTGTTGATTGGCTGTCTACACCATATGCTAGTATCTAGTGGGGAGAGGAGAGCTGTGAGTGAGGCCAGCTAGGTTGCCACTGTCCTGAAACCCACATTTCCTCCCTTTTCATGGTTCCTGAAGACAGGAAAAAGGACAAATAAATAATACATTACAAACCGGTGTCTGAGTATTTGGTTCTCTGCTGTTTGTCAAATGGATACTCTTCGTGGTCATCCTAAAAGATTGAGTCACACACTTCTCAGAAAAGAGGCACATTGCTCCCTCTGACACCTGAGAACAGACTCCAGGAGTATCATGGGCAATGTCAGGAGGTAAGCTTTTCAAAATACCTGTGAGGAGGACTGAGATGATTTTAGTACCATATATTAGCATTAGATGCTTACATTGGAAAGTGCCATCTACAAGGACTAAGGGTTTGCCCTTGTGACTTAAATTATAGGTGAACATGAGTAGGTAAGATGTGATCCAGGACCTAGGACCTACTCGGCTGTGGGACATCGAGGACAGGAATAGAGGTGTGTCCGCCCGAGTATTACTTAGTAACAGGGTGTCCTTATAAAAGCATAAGGCAACACAAGGCTGTACCCCTGAAGAAAAATAGCAGTCACTTGTAAATCTTAGGGAGAGGGGAGGATGGGACTTTGGGAACCTGCCCCTCACAATCATGAACTGCATACATCTTGGGGGCGAAAGGTGGGGTCTTGAGCCCAACAGTGACAAAGTTGGTGGGTCCTATCTTGTGCAGGCCTGCAGGTTATCACAAGTGCTCAGAGTTGACCAGGGCAGGTCCTTTGTCATACCTGGAGGACAGCTTTTCCCAGCAGTAGAGGTTTTAAAGACTTGTAGCCAGGTGTGGCTTACAACTCTGACTCCACTTGGGAAGATGTCGATTTCCGGGATAGACAGGACTGCACAGGGAGACTGTCTCAAAACAGTAAAACTCAGTTGTTAGAATTAGTTGTGGGTGCATGGTGGCTAACAACCATCTGTAATGAGGTCTGGCGCCCTCTGGCGTGTGGGCATACATGGAGGCAGAAAATATAAAAGAATTAGTTGTGGGTGATGCCACTAAGAGCTAATATATATGCAGTCGCTCTTCTCTGTCCAGGAGTTCCACATTAACAGACTCAAACGTGTAACTTTTAAGTGCTAGTTTGACATTTGAGGCTAATTTACTAAAGATATGAGGAGGTATCTGGGACTTGAGTCCTGAAGAAATAAGAGCAAAGGTAATCTTACCCATCTGTCTTATGATTCTTCCCATGAGAAACGCTACTGGAAGAGCAAGATACAAGCTGATGACTGTCCCCATTTCCACCCAACCTTTGCTACCACCTGGTGTGGCTGAGGCCAGACTTGGGCTAGCATATAGTGCTTGGTTTTACTTGCACACTGACACTTCTGCAGAGAAGCCGCTCGGTGGGACACGGTGCAGTGTGACCAAGGTTTGCTCTGTTTCCCTACAGGGCCAGTTTTGATCTTTGGATCCCAGAGAACTGGTCTGCTCAGTTTTGGAGTTCTAGAATGAAAAGATTTACCCCGTGACGTAGTTGTCTAGATGTAAACGCCACATGAATTTACCCCATGACTGGTGTGCTAAATGTGAGCCCCACAAAGCCAGAACTGGCAAGGGCAAATGCTATGGTGATTAAGAACTTGAACTTGGTAGAATGGGACCTAGGTTCTGGCATAGTTGCTTCTCTATCTCTGAGACACCATGACCAAGGCAACTTAAAGAAGAAAGTATTTAATTGGGGGTTTGCTTACAGCTTCTGAGGGTGACTCCATAACCATCTTGGTGGGGAACAAGGTGGCAGGCAGGGAGGCATGGTGCTGACTCAGTAGCTGAGAGCTTTCGTCTAATCCACCAACAGGAGGAGGCAGAGAGAGGCTGGGCTCGGCTGGCATGGGCTTTTGAGATTTCAATCCCAAGCGACACACCTTCAACAAGGGCACACCTAATCCTTCCCAGAAACATTTCTGCCAACCAGACACCACACATTTAGATATCTGAGGCTGTGGGGGTCATTGTCACTTGAACCACAAAAAGTCAGAATGCTCCTCAGTTGCCTGGCTTGGAAACACTTTCAAGCTCATTTAAAACTATTAAATGGCTTTCTATTTTCTGTGGATTGAAGAGATGCAGGAAGAATTGAAGGAAGCTCAAGAGAGTGAGGTAGCTAAGGGAAGTGACAAGCCTCAGGAGCCCCTCTTCAAGGTTAAATAAGCTACATACAATTGGGGGAGATAGGGTGGCTTGGTCACTTGTACTGGCTTGTCAACTTGGCACAGCTAGTGCCATCTGGGAGGTGGAATTGCAACTGAGAAAATGCCTCCATTAGATTGGCTTGTGTGGGGCATTTGCTTGCTTACTGGTTGATGTGGAAGGAAGGGCCCAACCCACTGTGGGCAGTGACAACCCTTTCAGGTCCCGGGAGGAATAGGAAAAGTAGCTGAAAGCCAGGAAGCCTTTGACATCTTCCAGGGCCTCTGCTTCAGTTTCCAGCCTTGAGTTCCTGCCCCATCTTACAACAAGATGGACGGTGAGTGGTTAAGACAAACCCTTTCTTGCCCAGATTGCTTCTGGCCATGGTGTTTACCACAGCAACAGAAAGCAAACGGAACTGGACAGTTGGTGGTGCACACCTTTAATCTCAGCACTCGGGAGACAGAGGCAGGTGGATCTCTGAGTTCGAGGCCAGCCTAGTCTACAGAGTAAGTTCCAGGAAATGCTCCAAAGCTACAGAGAAACCCTGTGTGTGTGTGTGTGGGGTGTGGACAGGGACAAACAGGGACACCACTCACTCATTTTTTAAAAAAACAAAACATGATTTATTGTGTATACAGTATTATGTCTGCATGTATTTCTGCAGGCCAGAAGAGGGCACCAGACCTCAATACAGATGGTTGTGAGCCACCATGTGGTTGCTGGGAATTGAACTCAGGACCTTTGAAAGAAGGCAATGCTCTTAACCTCTGAGCCATCTCTCCAGCCCCTCATCATGTTCTTTTTAAGTCACCTCAGTAAATCCACTGGTTTGTCAAGCTGAAGTGAATGGAGTACTTTCTTTGGTCTGTCTGCTGTTTCTCTCTGGGCTGAATAGAAATTGTGTTTCCATTATTTTCTCCTGCCTCTTCCCTTCCCCTTCCCACACTCTGGGGGTGCGGGGGGGGGGCTAGGGGAGCTGGAGTGCTTTACCCAAACAAACCTGGTCTTTTACATTAAAAAGAAAAGGAAGAATGGAAGAAAGAAAGAAAGAAAGACTATGACTCCAGGTAAAGTCAAATGACATTAATAGCTAGCTCAGTGGGTTTTGAGGAGGATCTGGTAATGTGAATGAGGGCGGTTTCCGACGTGGTGGGGTGAGCCTGTCTGTAATCCATCTATGCCACAGTGGTGACCTACGCAGAGCACGCTTGTGAAGCCAGAGAACCAATTATGACCATGACAAGAAACCAGAACTGTTGGCTTTCTCTGCCTTCCCTGCAGATGGAACTGATGTAGTGAGGCTTTATGATTACACTCTTCAGATACACATTTGGAGATGTTTTGATAATCAAAAGCTTCCTTACATAGCCATTAACAGAACTCTCTCTAATTAGAATATTAAAATAACCAGACTCAGACCAAATTCTGGGGAGCAAGTCTATTTATGCAGAAATGCACTTACCATGCTAACTGGATAATGCAATTGTTTCATCCCTGTATTGAAATGGCCAATTTCACTGTTGGCTTTTCTTAATTACACTAAAATCCCAAACCAAACGGACTACTTAGTGCTTTGTCTAACAAAGCCAGACACACCAAGCTTCAGAGAACCTAAAATCCAGCAGAGAACTCAACTCTGGGGAAGAATTAAGACTTAGCACAGCCCAGCACAGCCCAGCCCAGCCCAGCACAGCCCAGCCCAGCACAGCAGAAACCATTCCTTTGACACTGTACATTTGCATGAGATGCAGTGGGCACAGCGGAGGA